GCCTGTGATCCTGTGACTGTGACTGTGTGCCTGTGATCCTGTGATTGTGACTGTGTGCCTGTGATCCTGTGACTGTGTGCCTGTGATCCTGTGATCCTGTGACTGTGACTGTGTGCCTGTGATCCTGTGACTGTGATTGTGTGCCTGTGATCCTGTGACTGTGACTGTGTGCCTGTGATCCTGTGATGCTGTGACTGTGACTGTGTGCCTGTGATGCTGTGACTGTGACTGTGTGCCTGTGATCCTGTGACTGTGACTGTGTGCCTGTGATCCTGTGATTGTGACTGTGTGCCTGTGATCCTGTGACTGTGTGCCTGTGATCCTGTGATGCTGTGACTGTGACTGTGTGCCTGTGATCCTGTGACTGTGACTGTGTGCCTGTGATCCTGTGATTGTGACTGTGTGCCTGTGATCCTGTGACTGTGTGCCTGTGATCCTGTGATCCTGTGACTGTGACTGTGTGCCTGTGATCCTGTGACTGTGTGCCTGTGATCCTGTGATGCTGTGACTGTGACTGTGTGCCTGTGATCCTGTGATTGTGACTGTGTGCCTGTGATCCTGTGACTGTGTGCCTGTGATCCTGTGATGCTGTGACTGTGACTGTGTGCCTGTGATCCTGTGACTGTGTGCCTGTGATCCTGTGATGCTGTGACTGTGACTGTGTGCCTGTGATCCTGTGACTGTGACTGTGTGCCTGTGATCCTGTGACTGTGTGCCTGTGATCCTGTGATGCTGTGACTGTGACTGTGTGCCTGTGATCCTGTGACTGTGACTGTGTGCCTGTGATTCCGTGTGTGCCCAGAAGCCCGCGTGTGGCTCAGGGCTGCTTCCCTGAGCACAGAGCTGCCTGTGGGGCTGTCCTTGGGCCGTTACCTACAGCTGATGAGCTCCAAGAAGAGCGAAACCTGCTAAGCAAGGTCCTGTAGTATTGGCCTGAACCTGGGGGCACCTGCAGGGCACTGCCAGGGGGGCACTGCCAGGGGGGCACTGCCAGGGGGGTGCCAGTCTCACCTCCTGTGCTGGGACAGAGCTCTGACAGGAACAGCCCTGGAACAGAGCAGGGGCTCTCCCTGTTCTCTCCCTGCTTTGGGACAGGAAAAAACAAGGGGAGCAAGAAAATGTGAGTTTATAGAATTTTTATATATTTATATATATATATGTATATGTATAGATGTGTGTATATATATATGTATAGATGTATATATATATGTATATATATGTATATGTATATATATGTGTGTATATGTATATATATGTGTATATATATGTATATATATATAATTATATATAAATAAAACAATTATACATATAATATATAATTATATATATTATATAAAATTATAGATTATATATATTCTAGATATAATTTTTTATATATATATGTTTATATATATATATAAAAATTATAATTTTTTTATATAGTTATTATAGATGGTGGCCGAGTGTAGAATTTCCCACAGTAATTGGTAAATTGTGGGATTTGTAAATTGGCTCTGCTGTTAACTCTGTCAGAGGGTGCTCCTGAGGCCATGCAAGTGTTGTACCTGTGGAAACGGGGAGAAGGTGAAAGGATGAAGGGAAATGATGACATTTTGGAAGTTCACATCAGGCACACTCAGCTGCAGTTTTCTGAGGTACTGCATCATTTTCTGCTTTTAGTTGAACATATATTTTCAGTAAGGATTTCCAAATAGCTGCATTTCCTGTCCCTGGACGGGCTGGACACTGGGAGCAGCCTGGGAGGTGTCCCTGCCATGGCAGGGGTGGCACTGGGTGGGCTCTGAGCTCCCCCCACCCCAGCCCATCCTGGATTCTGTACTGGAGTGCTTTCCCCTCCACGTGCCCACAGAGTGGGAGCAGCCCCCTCAGGAATTGCTGGCTGCCGCATCACTCCAGCCCATGTTGTGTTTCCTGGCACTTTGCTCACAGATTTTGCTGCCATTTTTTAAAAACCAAGGAGCCAGCAAACAAATAAACAAAACCCATGCAAAAAATCCCAACAAAACCCAAACCCGGCCTCCCCACCCCCTTCAAAGAACCCAACCCAACAAACCAAACCAGCTCAGGCCAAGCTGCTGCTTCCCTTCCCTGTTTTGGGAGCTGAGCACTGTAATTTGCATCCCAAACATAGTTGCAGTTCTTGTGGGTTTGGTTCATTGCTGTTTTGAACTTGGGAAAGATTCCCCATCTTCCTTCTTGCCAGCCTCACCACTGAGGGATCCTCCTGTGCCTGATGGTTCAGGGATTAAAAACAGGTTTGTCAATTCTCCTCCCAGAACCTCATTGCCAGCACTGGCAGCAGTGTGGGAGTGGGGCTCTGCTCCCAGGAACAGGGACAGGACAGGGGGAAATGGCCTCAGGCTGGGCCAGGGCAGCTCAGGGTGGATATTGGGGACAATTCCCACTTAGAAAAGGCTGTGCTGTCCCTTTCTCCAGGGACTCCCCATCCCTGGAGGGTTTCAAAGCCCTGTGGATGTGGCACTTGGGGACGTGGGGATGGTTGGGCTCTGAGGGCTTTTCCAGCCTGAACAATTCTGTGTTTCCATTGCTGGATTCTCTCAGCAGCTCCAGGGCTGAGCTGCTCTCCCAGGGAAAAGTTCAAACCTTCTCCTTTTGAGACAGCCAGGAGGTTGGAGGAGTAGCTGGGGAGGGAATGGAGCCCCAGGAGAGGCTGAGGGAGCTGGGAAGGGAATGGAGCCCCAGGAGAGGCTGAGGGAGCTGGGAAGGGAATGGAGCCCCAGGAGGGGCTGAGGGAGCTGGGAAGGGAATGGAGCCCCAGGAGAGGCTGAGGGAGCTGGGAAGGGAATGGAGCCCCAGGAGGGGCTGAGGGAGCTGGGAAGGGAATGGAGCCCCAGGAGAGGCTGAGGGAGCTGGGAAGGGAATGGAGCCCCAGGAGGGGCTGAGGGAGCTGGGAAGGGAATGGAGCCCCAGGAGGGGCTGAGGGAGCTGGGAAGGGAATGGAGCCCCAGGAGAGGCTGAGGGAGCTGGGAAGGGGCTCAGCCTGGAGAAAAGGAGGCTCAGGGGGGACCTTGTGGCTCTGCACAAGTCCCTGACAGGAGGGGACGGCCAGGGAACAGGGACAGGACAAGGGGAAATGGCCCAGGCTGGGCCAGGGCAGGCTCAGGGTGGACATCAGGAGGAATTTCTGCATGGAAAGGGTGCTCAGGCCTTGGCAGGGGCTGCCCAGGGAGGTTTGCAGTGCCCATCCCTGCAGGTGTCACCTGGATGTGGCACTGAGTGCCCTGGGCTGGGCACAAGGTGGGCATTGGGCACAGCTGGGCTGGATGGGCTGGGAGGGATTTTCCTGCTGAAAGGGTTCTGGGATCATGGGGAGAGCAGATCCCTCATTCAGGTCCCATTTGGAGAGAGCAGATCCCTCATTCAGGTCCCATTTCAGGGCTCTCAGTCCCTGCTTTTCCTTGCAGAGGGCACAGAGGTGACACTCAGCTCCCCAGGAATGGTGTTGTGTCTGTCTCTGTCACTGTCACTCTGTCCCCTTCATGCAGGAGTTGTGTGTGGCACTGTTGGGTGCTGTGTCCTGGCACTGGCAGTGACCCCTGGATCCCTGGCAGTGCCCAAGGCCAGGCTGGACATCGGGGTTGGAGCACCCTGGGCAGTGGCAGTGTCCCTGCCATGGCAGGGGTGGCACTGGATGGGCTCTGAGCTCCTTTCCCACCCAACCCATCCCAGGATTCCCTGGATGAGGAATCTCTGGGGAAGAGGTGGCAGTGATGGCACTGGCAGGTGCTTGGTAGGGAATGAGATGGGGTTGGAAACTCGTGTGCCCAAATCCCCCAACTTCTACAAGTCACAAAAATTGCCACTGAGGGTTTTCCCTGTAAAAAATTCTGTAAAGGCACAGCAGCACATTGGTTCTGTCTGTGGTTTCTGAACCATGGAAATACAGTGTGTTTTCAGCTCAGAGCTCATGTGTTTGTTTTCCTTCCTGAGAAGGAAAAAGGCTGAGGTGGGTTCTGAGCTGTGGGGTTCCAGCAGGACCTTGGGAAGTGCCAGGCTGTGCCCAGGGAGCTGTGCCAGTGCCAAGGCAGGACTTTGTGCTGCTCCCGAGGCTGCTGCAGCCTGGGCTGAGCCAGCTGTAGTCTGCATGGAACTGTAGGAGAGTTGTTTGGGATTTTTGTCTTTTTTTTTTTTTTTAGGGTTAGACACATAAAACCTATATTTAATGGTTTTTAAGTTGGTGAATTTGGTAACCAAAAAATAATGTAATAATTAGTTGAATTATTAATTAAATTTTACACTGATGCTGAATAATTTTCCTTTTTTTGGCTGCAGTGGGCTGAAATTAGGCATGTTTTGGGACTGTGGAGTGAAATAAGCCCTGAGCGCTGCTGAATTGTCCCTGTGCCCCCTTATTGGGGTACAAGCTGCTCCCTGCTCCTGTCACTCTTTTCATCTGATTTCCCAGAAAAGGGAGCCCGCTGCCACCAAACTGGTTTTATTTCCAACTTAATTTGAAGTTCTCTACTTCCCTGGAAAATCCTAGGTGACCTTAGGGGCTCAAAGTTAAATGAATTTTAACAATTTTTGTTTAAAGCCAGCATTCCCCCAAACCGACCATCCCCACAAATCCCTTTCCAGGCTGAAGGATTCTGTGATGCTGCAGGGAAGAGGGGTCACTCACCTCTGATCCAGGGAAGGGAATGGGCTGAGCCTGTTCCTGCTGCCCCCCAGAGTCTCCAACTGCAGCATTTCCCTTTTTTGGCTCAGAACACAGGAATTTTTATGGGATATTTCTGCTTGTGTCAATGCAGCTCTGGGCTTTTCAAACTAAAGCAATTCAAGGGTTGAATTCATGTTTCCTGTGCCTTGGAAGGTGTTAACAAGCCTGGGGTGTGTGTGTGTGGAATGGGGTAAGGATGAGAGGTGTCTGTCTGTCCTGGAACCCCTAGTCCCCGACCAGAATCAGACTGAGGGACAGAATGCTGCTGCTCTTGTGACAGAATTCACACACAAACAGTGTTTGCCATTTCTGTCTCCAGAATGATTGAGGAGAGTGGCAAGAGGAGGAGGACCATGGCAGAGAAGAGGCAGCTGTTCATGGAAATGAGTAAGTAGGAAATGTGAAGACATCATGTCCTTGATTCTTCACTGAGAGCTTCCCTGGGCCAGCTGCAGCAGATTGTCCCCATCCTGTCCCCAAGCCCCATGCAGGGACAGCCATCCAGGTGCTGCTCAGGAGGAGAATGCCCAGGGGGAGTCAGATATGCCTGGGGAGCTCATTTATCCCTAGTTCTGGGGAGCTCCTTCCTTAGGGAATGCTCACCTCTGTCATCCATGCCAGTGCCTGAGGTTTGTGGAGAATTATTTCAATGAATAGTGGCAGCAGACAGAGAAGCTTTGGCCGTAAAAATAGATTAAAAATGGCCCTGCAATGCTGGTGTGAGTCAAGAAATGGTTTGGGGGCTGATTTGTGCAGGATTCTCCTCTGGAAAAGCAGAGTTAGGAACTGGTGTTTGCATGGCATCACATTATCCTGCTGTCCTGCAGGAGTCAGGGCTGAAGGGAGTTCCTGGATTGGGCCAGCATGTCCTTAATTCCAGTGACACACTGAGGGAGCTCTGCCTGCAAACTAACTGTTTATACTGGTTTGTTTCCAGAGCAGCATTGTTAGGGAATCAGGGAGTGTCTGGGTGGGAAAGGGCCTTAAATCCCACCCAGTGCCACCCCTGCCATGGCAGGGACACCTGGGACTGTGCCAGGGTGTGCCAGTGTCCAGCCTGGCCTTGGGCACTGCCAAGGATCCAAGGTGGGCACCCTGTGCCAGGGCCTGCCCACCCTGCCAGGGAACAATTCCCCATTGCCAAGATCCCATCCAGCCCTGCCCTCTGGCAGTGGGAGCCATTCCCTGGCTCCTGTCCCTCCATCCTTGTCCCCAGTCCCTCTGCAGCTCTCCTGGAGCCCCTTCAGGCCCTGGCAGTGGCTCCAGGATGTCCCCAGAGCTCAGTTTGTCCCTTGAACCCCCCAGATCTGCACCCCACAGGATTTGTGTGCTGAGAATCAGGAGCCCAGCCCGGAGCCATGGCAGGCAGCAGCACCTTGGGATGACAGGATGCCAACTGGGTTGGGTGGGAAGGGAGCTCAGAGCCCCCCCAGTGCCAGCCCTGCCATGGCAGGGACACCTGGGACTGTGCCAGGGTGTGCCAGTGTCCTGTCCCTCCATCCCTTGTCCCCAGTCCCTCTCCATCCCTCTGCCAGCCCCTCCAGGTGCTGCAGTTGGGTCACCCCAGAGCTTTCCCTTCTCCAGGCTGAACCATCCCAGTTCTCCCAGCCTTTCTTACAGCAGAGCTGCTCCATCCCTCTGATCACCTTGGTGCCTCCTCTGGGCTCTCCCCAGCAGCTCCAGGTCCTTGTGCTGCTGCCCAGGGCTGGGGCAGCTCTGCAGCTGGGCTCTCACCTGGACACAGGGGGCACAGGGGCAGAGCCACCCTGTGTGCCATGCTGGGATGGGTGCAGGAGACTCTGGAGCCTTTTGGCAGGGGCAGAGGGAAGCACCAGCAGGGGCAGAGGGTGCTCAGAGGGAAGCACAGCCCCACAGCAGCACAGGGTGTGCAGAAGGAATCACAGCCCCACAGCAGGTTCAGAGGGAAGCACAGCCCCACAGCAGCAGCACAGGGGAAGCTCAGAGGGAAGCACAGCCCCACAGCAGCAGGTTCAGAGAGTGTTCAGAGGGAAGCACAGCCCCACAGCAGCACAGGGTGCCCAGAGAGAAGCACAGCCCCACAGCAGCAGGTGGAGGGAGTGCTCAGAGGGAAGCACAGCCCCACAGCAGCCCAGCCCCACAGCAGCAGGTTCAGAGGGTGTTTAGAATCAAGCCCAGCCCCAGAACAGCAGGTTCAGAGGGTGCTCAGAAGGAATCACAACCCTACAGCAGCACACAGCAGAGGGTGTTCAGAGGGAAGCCCAGCCCCACAGCAGCAGGTCCAGAGGGTGCTCAGAATCAAGCCCAGCCCCACAGCAGCAGGTTCAGAGGGAAGCTCAGCCCCACAGCAGCAGGTCCAGAGGGTGCTCAGAATCAAGCTCAGCCCCACAGCAGCAGGTTCAGAGGGAAGCTCAGCCCCACAGCAGCAGGTCCAGAGGGTGCTCAGAATCAAGCCCAGCCCCACAGCAGCAGGTCCAGAGGGTGCTCAGAATCAAGCCCAGCCCCACAGCAGCAGGTCCAGAGGGTGCTCAGAATCAAGCCCAGCCCCACAGCAGCAGGTCCAGAGGGTGCTCAGAATCAAGCCCAGCCCCACAGCAGCAGGTCCAGAGGGTGCTCAGAATCAAGCCCAGCCCCACAGCAGCAGGTCCAGAGGGTGCTCAGAATCAAGCCCAGCCCCACAGCAGCAGGTTCAGAGGGTGCTCAGAAGGAAGCACAGCTCCACAGCAGCACAGCTCCACAGGACAGGTTCAGAGGGTTCTCAGAATCAAGCCCAGCCCCACAGCAGCTCTGCTTTGTTGCAGGAGCCCAGAACTTCGACGTGATCCGGCTCTCCACGTACAGAACCGCCTGCAAGCTGCGCTTCGTGCAGAAGAGGTGCAACCGTGAGTGCTGCCTGCCTCTTCTCCCCCCTGCTGCATGGCTGCTGCATTGCTGCACCCCTGGAGGGCAGGGGAGCCCTGACCTGCTGTGTTTAACAGATCTGATGCAGAATTGATTATGGAATTAAACAGGCAGTGAGCCTTGCCCGATGCTCTGCGATATCTTCATGTTTGTTCTTTAATGTTCAGAAAATGTGAGGTCCAAGGGAGCTGTGGTGTTCAGTGCCCTCAGAGCTGGGTGTAGGTGGTGTCAAGCTCTGTGAGGGGCTGTTTCCTCACAGGGAACCCCAGAGCAGCCCCAGTGAGCACAGGGACAGTCCCTGCCTGCAGCTGTCCCTGTGGGGACACGGGCGACATCAGTGACCATGGAGAGCTCTGGGCAGGGCAGGTTCTCCCCTTCCCTGCTGTGAGCTCTGACCTTGGACAGCTCCCAGGTGGATCCCAGGTGAATCCCAGTGAATCCCAGTGGATCCCAGGTGAGCAGGATGCGCTTTGTGCCCTGCCCCTGCTGAGCTGGACGCAGCAAAGAGCAGAGCAGGATAATGTGTGGGAGGAGATCCCTAATCCCAGGGCACAGGAACTGACTGCTGGGGGCTGAGGAGGAGGAGACCAGCAGAAGGGCTGAGGAGGAAGAGGAGGCCAGAAGGAGTCTCAGGTTCTCTAGCTGCTCACTGTGACCAGAGATGTGTCAGAAAGTCTCTTTTCCCACTCCAGTGGTTGAAGAAGGAGTCAGAGGTCTCCGTTTCCCGGTCTCAAGGGTGTTTATTGTTCCTTATCTATAAAATTCTTTCTCCTATCCAGCCAAGCAAGACAGTCAGAGGCTCTGCCTGGCCCCAGGGGGATGTTATCTTTTTATACTAAAAACTACCTGTACAATATTTACAATTACTTTCCAATACCTATCACCCGTGTTAGACAGTGAGCTCCTACTCTAAACCAATCCAGAAGTGCCACCATCCCAGCAGAAGATGGAGGCCAAGAAGAAGAAGGAGAAAGGCTGGACATGCCCAGGTTCCTCCATGTTGCCCCCTGAACCCCCATTCTAAAACCCCAAAATCTATTTTTCACTCTGTGATAAATTCACTATCATTCTACTTAAACTTTCATGGCTTGTAATTCTTCATATAAAGGGTTCTGGCTGTAGTTAGAGTTTTAGGGTTCAAACTCTGTTTGCCAGCCCAGGGCACAAAGGAATGGCAGCTGCAGAGCTCTGCATAGGGCACAAAGGAATGGCAGCTGACAGCTCTGCATAGGGCACTGGTGCCCACAAGAGCCCTTTGGCACCCCTGGGCTGGGCATGGGGCCCTGCAGCTCTCTCTGGTCACAGGGGATGGCACAGCCTGGTCCTTGGGGGCGTTTTGTGTGAGAAATACGAAGTTAGGTCAGTGTGAGGAGGGCATGAGCTCACGCTGGCTGCAGATCACTCTGAAATGTCACCGTGTCCCTGCTCTTTGTGGCTGCTGATCCTTGGCTGTCCCCTCCACCCTCCTGCAAACCTTAAAAGCTTGGGAACATGTCAGGATGTTGCTTCATGTGGTTCTGCAGATGGCTCACTGTGGTTTGGGAAGGGTTTCTGCACGTTGTTAACACTGCTTGGATGCAGCAGGGGAATCTGAGGGAGAGCTTGGGAACCCCAAACCTGTGTTTATAAAACGTTATTATGCTCTGGGTTTGGGAACTGGATCAACTGGAAACTGCCAGAGTTTAACTGGAACAACAAGTTCCTCCTACAAGTCAGCATGAGGGTGTTCAAAATCGCTGTGAACATTTTGTGGTGGATTTAGAGATTCATCAGATCCCAGAGTGGTTTGGGTGTGGGGAGGGCCCTTAAATCCCACCCAGTGCCAGCCCTGCCATGGCAGGGACACCCCCCCGACTGTCCCAGGGTGTCCCAGTGTCCATCCTGGCCTTGGGCACTGCCAGGGATGCAGGGTGGGCACCCTGTGCCAGGGCCTGCCCATGCTGCCAGGGAGGAACTGGGGCTGGTGGCTGAAGCACTGCATGCTCAGGGGGAGACTCTTCTGTTTCTGACAGACCCAGATATCACCAGGATATTTTCTAAAAAATCCCTTTGTCAGGATTTTTCTCCTGAGAAGCCTCAGAAAAGAAATGCAAACAATAATTATCTGACTGCTTAGATTGTGGTCTGGAGGTTACTCACCAGCAGGTGCATCTTTGATTGGTTCCATGGGAATTGTTTTTAATTAATGACCAATCACAGCCAGCTGTGTCAGGACTCTGGTCAGTCACAGGTTTTTATTATTCATTCCTTTCTGGCTTTTTGATGTCTCCTTTCTCTTTCTTTAGTGTAGTTTTAGTATAGCATTTTATGATATGACATGATATGATATAATGTAATATTATGTAATATATAATATATTATATAATATAACACAATATAATATATAATATATATAATGTAATGTATAATATAATATAATATAATATAATACAATATATAATATATATAATGTAATATATAACATAACACCACACAACACAACACATAATATTATATAATATATAATATAATATATAATGTATAATAGATATAATATTATATATAATGTTTTATAATATATAACATATAATAGATTATATAATATATAATATTATATAATAGAAATTATATAATATCTATAATATGGGGCTGTTTAGCCTGGAGAAGAGGAGACTCAGAGGTGACCTTATTGCTCTCTGCACCTTCCTGAAGGGAGGTTGGAGACAGATAGGGATTGGTCTCTGACAGAACTAGAGGACACAGTCTGCAGCTACCTCAGTGTTGGGAAGGATGAAAGTTTGACCAGAAAGTCTCACAGGTATGTGTGCTTGGCAGAAAGATTTTTAAATGTAGAGTCTGATGAAGGAATAGAGATGGAAGCAAGCTTTGATATAGAAGAAAAGAATTGCTGAGCCAGTCCTACTGGATAACCAAGGAGGCAAAGGCTGTGTGAGTTAGAAGGGGTTTGTATGGCTTAGAGCAAAGGATAAACCCACCCCAAACAAGGAGATGTTTGTACCAAGCAGGAAAATAACACAGGCAAACAAGGCAGCAAATGTGGCAAGTAGAAAAAAGGTCTCAGAATTTTCCACTGCAAGAAAACTGAAAAACAACTTCTAGCTTAAACTGTAATGTAATGACTTTTAGTGACTGGAGAACAGTAACATGAATATGGTAATTATAGGAGTTTTGATAGGCTGCAGGTAAAAGTTAAGGTATAGATTGGTTCTGCTGTATTAAGATGCTCAGCAAAGAAAAGTATAGAATGCATTGTGACCAAAACCAAAGTATATAATGCATTTGTAGCCAAAATTAAAGGGTCTTCAGGCTTGTCTGGAGCTGACAGCTGTAGGCACAGCTCCATCACCCACAACCCTGGACTGCTGTAACATCTTGGATACAATAAACTGCATTTTGAAGAGCTGCCTGGAGTCCCACATCCCTCATTTCAGCTTTTACAGTGGCACCCAACGTGGAGCACCATTAGTAAGGGCCTGAATGAGGGATGCAGCTCTCCAGCTGTGGGCACAGCTCTGTCACCCATGACCCTGGACTGCTGTGACTCTTGGATACAATAAACTGCATTTTGAAGAGCTGCCTGGAGTCTCACATCCCTCATTTCAGCTTTTACAGTGGCGCCCAACGTGGGGCACCATTAGTAAGGACCTGAATGAGGGATGCAGGTCTTCAGGCTTGTCTGCAGCTGGAGCTGACACCTGCATGCCCAGGCTCTGCCACCCACGACCCTGGCCTGCTGTAACATCTTGGATACAATAAACTGCATTTTGAAGAGCTGCCTGGAGTCCCACATCTCTCATTTCAGCTTTTACAGTGGCGCCCAACGTGGGGCACCATCCGTAAGAGCCTGAGTGAGGGATGCAGGACTCCAGCTGCATGCACAGGCTCTGCCACCCACAACCCTGGACTGCTGTAACACCTTGGATGTAATAAACTGCATTTTGGAGAGCCCCTGGAGTCCCACATCCCTCATGTAGGCTCTTACAGTATAGGTTGGATATTAGGAAGAAATTTTTCTCCAAAAGGATAATAAAGCTCTGGAATGCTCTTCCCAGGGAGGGGGTGGAATCACCATCTCTGGGTGTGTTTATGAAAAGGCTGGACATGGCACTGGGTGCTATAGTTGAGGTGTTAGGGCATAGGATGATCTTAGAGGTCTCTTCCAACCTCATTATCCTGTGATTCTGTTTTCCCTTTGTTTCCCAGTTCACCTTGTTGATATCTGGAACATGATTGAAGCCTTCAGAGATAACGGCCTTAACACCCTGGACCACAGCACGGAGCTCAACGTGTCCCGCCTGGAAACCATCATCTCCTCCATCTACTACCAGCTGAACAAACGGCTGCCCTCCAGCCACCAGATCAGCGTGGAGCAGAGCATCAGCCTTCTGCTCAACTTCATCCTGGCAGCCTATGACAGGTCAGTGTGCCCCTGGGTGCCAGCCCTGCCAGAGCAGTGCCAGGGCATCAGCCTGCTGCTCAACTTCATCCTGGCAGCCTATGACAGGTCAGTGTGCCCCTGGGTGCCAGCCCTGCCTGCCTGGGCAATGCCAGGGCATCAGCCTGCTGCTCAACTTCATCCTGGCAGCCTATGACAGGTCAGTGTGCCCCCTATGTGCCAGCCCTGCCTGCCTGGCAGTGCCAGTGTGCCCCTGGGTGCCAGCCCTGCCAGAGCAGTGCCAGGGCATCAGCCTGCTGCTCAACTTCATCCTGGCAGCCTATGACAGGTCAGTGTGCCCCCTATGTGCCAGCCCTGCCTGCCTGGCAGTGCCAGTGTGCCCCTGGGTGCCAGCCCTGCCTGTCTGAGCAGCAGGAGTGTGCCCAGGAATGTGCCAGGGCTGCCCTCTGAGGGGGGCTGGGCACTGCTGGGAGCTCTGTGCTGAGCTGGGCTGGGCTCAGACAGGGCAGGGATGGGATGGGGCAGAGCAGGGCAGGGATGAGGCAGAGCAGAGTGGGGATGGGGCAGGGCAGGGATGGGGCAGAGCAGGGCAGGGCTCAGGTAGAGCAGAACAGGGATGGAGCAGGGCAGGGATGGAGCAGAGCAGGGCAGGGATGGGGCAGAGCAGGGCAGGGATGGAGCAGAGCAGGGCTCAGGCAGAGCAGGGATGAGGCAGAGCAGGGCAGGGATGGGATGGGGCGGAGCAGGGATGGGATGAAGCAGAGCAGGGCAGGGATGGAGCAGAGCAGGGCAGGGATGGGGCAGAGCAGGGCTCAGGCAGAGCAGGGATGAGGCAGAGCAGGGCAGGGATGGGATGGGGCGGAGCAGGGATGGGACGAAGCAGAGCAGGGCAGGGATGGAGCAGAGCAGGGATGGGGCAGAGCAGGGATGGGGCAGAGCAGGACAGGGATGGGGCAGAGCAGAGCAGGGATTGAGCAGAGCAGAGCAGGGATGGGGCAGAGCAGAGCAGGGATTGAGCAGAGCAGAGCAGGGATTGAGCAGAGCAGGGCAGGGATGGGGCAGAGCAGGGCAGGGATGGGGCAGAGCAGGGCAGGGATGGGGCAGAGCAGAGCAGGGATGGGGTAGAGCAGGGATGGGGCAGAGCAGGGATGAAGCAGAGCAGAGCAGGGATGGGGCAGAGCAGGGATGGGGCAGAGCAGGGCTCAGGCAGAGCAGAGCAGGGCTCAGGCAGAGCAGGGCAGGGATTGAGCAGAGCAGAGCAGGGATTGAGCAGAGCAGGGCAGGGCTCAGGCAGAGCAGAGCAGGGATGGGGTAGAGCAGGGATGGGGCAGAGCAGGGCAGGGATGGGGCAGAGCAGGGATGAAGCAGAGCAGAGCAGGGATGGGGCAGAACAGGGATGAACCAGGGCAGGGCTCAGGCAGAGCAGAGCAGGGATTGAGCAGAGCAGGGCAGGGCTCAGGCAGAGCAGAGCAGGGATGAAGCAGGGCAGGGCTCAGGCAGAGCAGGGCAGGGATGGGGCAGAGCAGAGCAGGGCTCAGGCAGAGCAGAGCAGGGATGGGGCAGAGCAGGGCAGGGATTGAGCAGAGCAGGGCAGGGCTCAGGCTCCCTCTCCAGGAGCTCAGCAGCACGGCAGGCTGTGCTTTAATAAAAATGCCCATCCCTCCTGGAATGCTCAGAGTGCTCAGAGTGCTCACAGAAAGTGCCGCTGGCACCATCAGAACCTTCAACATTCCCCTTGGCAGGTACAGTCCCTGAATCCTGGAGTGGTTTGGGTGGCAAGGGACTGTACCGGCTATCCAGTGCCACCCCTGCCATGGCAGGGACACTGCCACTGTCCCAGGGTGCTCCTACCCCAATGTCCAGCCTGGCCTAGGGTGCCCTTCCTGGGAATTCTGCTTGGCTGGGTGCTCTGAGGAGGAATTTGTGCCCTGGCACAGCTGGAATGCTGCTCTGGCACATCTGGAATGCTGCAGTGGGCCCTGGCAGGGCCAGCAGGGCAGGGGGAGTTGCCTGGGCTGGGCGAGGAGCTGGGGTTGGCACCAGTGGCACATCCACATGGATGTCCCTGCTGTAGGACCTGCTGCACTGGGGACATGTGGAGGGTGAGGAAGGAGCCTCACAGGCCTGGCCTGGCTTGAGCCAGTCCCCAGTTCTGCTTCCATTCCTGTGGCCATTCCTGGGTTTAAATCTCCTCTTACAGGGGATTCAGGATCTTACAGAAGGTTTTCCCTTTTTCCCTGCTGATGGAATTGAGGTGGCACAGAGCTGGGCAGGTTCCTCAGCAGCTGCTCCTGGGGCAGAGTGGATCTGGAAGGGAGGAGTTTGGGGTTTGGGTGATTTATAAACAGTGTCAGGGGACAGGCCCAGTGTCTGGGGGCACCAGAGAGAGCTTTCCAAGGACAGGCTGTGTCCTGGGAGGAGACACTGATGGCTTTGGGCACTGCTTTTTCTGGGAGCTAATCCCAAGCTGAACTTTGATATAAAATCATGTCTGGTAAAGAGTGAAAGGGGAGGGGGCTGAGGCTGTGACTTAGAGGGGTTTGGATTTCCAGGAGAGCTTTGCCCTGGGCTGATCCCCCAGAATGGGCAGCAGGAAAGGGGGGATTCTGTCCCTGTGCCCAGGTGAGAGCCCACCTGCCCTGGGCACTCCAACAGCACAAGGACCTGGAGCTGCTGGACAGAGCCCAGAGGAGCCTCAGAGCTGCTCCAGGGCTGGGAGAGCTGGGGGTGCTCACCTGGATGGGAGAAGGATCCAGGGAGAGCTCAGAGCCCCTGGCAGGGCCTGAAGGGGCTCCAGGAGAGCTGGAGAGGGACTGGGGACAAGGATGGAGGGACAGGAGCCAGGGAATGGCTCCCACTGCCAGAGGGCAGGGATGGGTGGGAGATTGGGAATGAGGAATTGTTCCCTGGCAGGGTGGGCAGGCCCTGGCACAGGGTGCCCAGAGCAGCTGTGGCTGCCCCTGGATCCCTGGCAGTGCCCAAGGCCAGGCTGGACACTGGGACAGTGGGAGCTGTGCCTGCCATGGCAGGGGTGGCACTGGGGGGGCTCTGAGCTCCCTTCCCACCCAAACCACTCTGGGTCCTGCTTCTCCAGGCCCTTGCCCAAAGCCCCTCTCAGCTCTCTCAGAGACTCCCTTCAGGGATTTCTGCTTTTCCAGCTCTCTCCATGCCACTCCAAATTCCCTGGCCAGCATGTTTACTTACCGTTACTTGAAATGCTGGGAGTTGCTGGAGGGGCTGTTGTTATTCCCATGATTTCTGGGATTCTGGTGTTGTTGTTATTCCCATGATTTCTGGAGCTCTGGGATGGTTGTTGTTATTATTCCCATGATTTTTGGGGCTCTGGGGTGGTGATTGTTGTTATTCCCATGATTTCTGGGGCATTGTTATTTGTTGCTCCCATGATTTCTGGGGCTCTGGGGTGGCTGTTGTTATTCCCATAATTTCTGGCATTCTGGGCTGTGGCTGTCGTTGTTCCCATGATTTCTGGGGCTCTGGGGTGGCTGTTGTTATTCCCGTGATTTCTGGGGTGGCTGTTGTTATTCCCATTATTTCTGGGCTGGTTATTTTTGTTCCCATTATTTCTGTGATTCTGGGGTGGTTGTTGTTATTCCCATGGTTTCTGGGGCTCTGGGCTGGTTGTTGTTATTCCCATGATTTCTGGGGTTGTGGTTTTTGTTATTCCCATTATTTCTGGGGTGGCTGTTGTTATTCCCATGATTTCTGGGGTTCTGGGGTGGTTATTTTTGGTCCCATTATTTCTGTGATTCTGGGGTGGTTGTTGTTGTTGTTCCCATGATTTCTGGGGTGGCTGTTGCTTTTGTTCCCATTATTTCTGTGATTCTGGGGTGGTTGTTATTGTTATTCCCATTATTTCTGTGATTCTGGGGTGGCTGCTGTCGTTCCCACGATTTTTGGGGTGGTTTTGTCTCCATCCCTGTGCAGTTCTCACAGGTGCCTTTCCCTGCAGTGAGGGCCATGGGAAGCTGACAGTGTTCTCAGTGAAAGCCATGCTGGCCACCATGTGTGGGGGGAAGATCCTGGACAAGCTCAGATGTGAGTACCCCTGAGGAATCCCACCCTTTATGGACTCTTTCCTTCCCTGTGTTTGTTCTGTTCAGTTCTGGAGGGTTTTATTGTGCTGATTTTGTGATCTTTCCACTGAGCTGGGGCTGTGCAGAGTTCCAGAGTCATTAAGGTGGGACAGTCCCTTCCAGCCCATGCTGTGCCCATTGTCCCCACATTGTCCCCAGAGCACTGGGTGCCACATCCAGGCCTCCTGGGACACCTCCAGGGATGTTTGTTCCATATTCTAATTCCTGGTTATCCTGAGCCCAGGACTGAGGAGCCTTCCCAAGCCCATTCCATTAATTCAGCACTTTTTTAAATGGAGAACTTGAGGGCTGATTTCCAATAGGAATGTCCCAGGTGTCACTATTTCCCTGCTTTGGGGGTGTTGGAGGTTCCTGTGAATCTCCTGAGGCTCTCTGCACCTTCTCACCCTGCAATCCCAGCTGCTGAGGTAGAATCCCAGGATGGTTTGGGTTGGAAGGGACCTGGGGACACCTCCCAGTGTCCCAGGCTGCTCCCAGCCCTGTCCCTGAGCCCTGCTGACCCCTGGGCTCAGTTCCTTTCCTCTCTGAGCAAACCCCAAATCCTGCTGGATGAGCACACAGAACAGGATTCCTCCAACTGGAGAGAAACGTGGTGGTGGAAGAGTTCTAGAAAATCAGTTCTGGGGAATCCTGAGCAGGATGGGAACAGCAAAGAGCTGCTCCTTCCCCTTCCAGCTGCTCCCTGCTCTGGATTTCTTCTCAGCATTATGATTGTGCTGCTTGGCTTTCCCCCTCTCTTTCCTCTTGGTTTTCTCAGCTTTTACAGAGGCACCTGAGAGCTGTTTTAAAAGATTTTATTCTATTATCAGTGTCAGAGATTTTATTCTATTAAGAATAATCTTATTCTATTAAGAACAAAATCTTAAAAAGATTTATTAAAAGATCTTATTCTCATAAGAATAAAATCTTTAAAATATTTTATTTTTTTTTTATAAAAAGGTTTTTATTCTATTATCAGTATTATCAGTGAGACACCAGAGATGTAAAACCCAATGCCATCCCATCAGAATCCAACCCATTTCTTGGTTACAACAGCTTAGAAATGTTTTTTGGCTTCTTAGCTTTTGCCACACAGTGCTGCTACACCAATCACCTCTATTTTTTCTCCACATTGTCTTGCTGCAATGTATTTTCATAGTTCTAATTCTATAAAATACCTAGTCTTGTTTTACTCTTTACAAATCCATTTCCCACATCTCTCCCTGGTTACTGACCCACTTCACTCCCAAAATCTCCCTGTGCAGAGGGATCCCAGCCCAGCCTCCCTTCCCTGAGCAGGCTGGGGCTCTCTGCAAATCCTGGGATTTGTGTTTTTCATGTTTTCTCATCCCATGGTGGGGACAGGACAGGGTCCTGAGAGTGTCCCCATGGCACAGAGGGGCTGGGGGCCCTTCCCTGGCTCTGGAACTTCCTGGCATGGGCAGCTCCTTGTGGGGCTGTGCAAGGCAGGGATCCATCCTGCTGGATTTGCCAGCAATTCCGACATGGGAAGGGATGAGAATCTTGATTCTGTGTTTCAGAAGGCTGATTTATTATCTTATGATATGTATTATATTAAAGGAAAATGATATGTTAAAACTATACTAAAAGAATAGAAGAAAGGATTTCATCAGGGGAAAAGGGAAGGGAAGGGAAGGGAAGGGAAGGGAAATGTTGTGACTGACCAGAGAGTCTGAGCCAGCTGACTGTGATTAGCCATTGATTAGAAACAACCACATGAGACCAATCACAGACGCACCTGTTGCATTCCACAGCAGCAGATAATCATTGTTTACATTTTGTTCCTGAGGCTTTTCAGGAGAAATATCCTGCAAAAGAATTTTTCATAAAATGTGTCTGTGACAGATCCCAGGATCCCTGAGGCTGGAAAATCCCTCCCAGCCCACCCAGTCCCAGCTGTGCCCAGTGCCCACCTTGTCCCCAGGGCCCTGAGTGCCACATCCAGGAATTCCTGGGGCACCTCCAGGGGTGGGCACCCCAAACCTCCAAGGCCTGAGCCCCCTTTCCATGGGGAAATTCCTCCTGGTGTCCAGCCTGAGGCTGTTCCCTCTCATCCTGTCACCAGCTGCCCTTTGAAAGGATGTCCTCCTTTTTATTTATTTATTTTTATTTATTACATCCTGCTTTTTAGTATTTCCAGTTTCACTGCCAGTTCCCCATGTGGAATTTTCCCACTTTGACCACAAAGCCACATTTTTCACTGCAAGACAAACATTGGTGGGGTTTGGGGGGTTTTTAATTTCCTCTTGGCACAGCCTGAGCTGTTCTCTCTCATTTTCAGATTTCCATACCTTGAATTTCTCTCCCATTAGGATCACTTCACTGCCTGCTCCATCTGAGCACACCCAGGAGGTTTCAGCCCATTTTAAATACAATTGTGTCCTGTCCCTGTTGTGTCCCACCCTGCCAGGTTCATTGCAGACCTTCAGCTCCTGTGCAGGAGGATTCTGCTCCAGAATTGGATTAGGATTCTGGAATTTTTGCTCTCTAATTTTAGTTGTTCCCATTGGTTTCGTTTTGTGTGCATTTTCATCCTGACCTTTTTTTTCCACATTCAGTTTCTAGGTTAAGTCTAATTTTTCTGGCTGGCTTGTTTTTCTAAAATACACAAATCCACCATTTAAAATATATTTTTGTTCTTTTTTCCCCCCATTTCTCCTAATATGTTTTCTTTATAAAAGATGTTATAAATAATAACGTTATAAAAATAATGTTATAAACATTATTCAAGGGACCTTCAGTTCAGGCTGCTCTGTTCAGTCAGTGATACAAATTCCAGGTGTCTTTATCCCTCTCAACTAAGGCATTGCAGGTTTCTTCCTGAGCTCATTCTTTCAGAAAACTGGGATAATTCCTCCAGTTTACTGGAAATGTGCCTTTCTGAGAGTGTCTTTTTTTCTGGAGCTGGTTTTGATCACTGAAATGAAGGTTGTTTTCTGCCAGCATGAGCTTTTTGATGTTTAATTACCGATGGTGCCTGAAATAACAGCAGAGAGGGCTCAGTGCCACCGAGGAGATCTGGGATCTGTCACATCCTGGGCAATTCTAGGTCGTGTTTCCTTTGGTGAATCCTCCCCTTGGAGCATCCCAGGCTCTGGGGGTGCCTCAGGGCCCAGCTGGCTCTGTGAGAGATCTCTGCAAGGAGATTCTGGGTCCCAGGACAGTTCTGGTTTCTGTTTGACACCGTTGAGATCTGGTTGACATCATTGTTCTGTCGTGCTCTCTGCATCCTGCCCCTGGGATCTGGAGCTCTGGGGAGGGCATCAGGGACCCCCAGGGCTCAGGAGGAGCAGGGACAGGGAGTGGGGCACCTGCAGCACCTCTCCCTTCTCCTTCCATCCTTGCAGACATCAGGGAACCGCTCAGCCACTTTTTGCTGTCAGGAATATATTTGTTTCCACAGAGCTGCTTAAAAAGTGTGAACTCCTCTGATCACAAATGTTCTCAGAATGCCAGAATAGTTTGGGCTGGAAGGGACCTTAAATACCACCCCATTAAATCCCACCCCATTTCACCCCTGCCATGGCAGGGACACCTCCCACTGTCCCAGGGTGTCCCAGTGTCCAGCCTGGCCTTGGGCACTGCCAGGGATCCGGGGGCAGCCCCAGCTGTGCCAGGGCCTGCCCACCCTGCCAGGGAACAATTCCCAATTCCCAGTATCCCAGATCCAAAATGGGATCTGATTCCTGTTCCCAGCTGTGCATCTGGGGTTGAGCTCGGTGCCCTCAGCTTGCAGGGGCTCCTGGTGAGGCTGGGGAGGGAATGGAGCCCCAGGAGAGGCTGAGGGAGCTGGGAAGGGAATGGAGCCCCAGGAGGGGCTGAGGGAGCTGGGAAGGGAATGGAGCCCCAGGAGGGGCTGAGGGAGCTGGGAAGGGAATGGAGCCCCAGGAGGGGCTGAGGGAGCTGGGAAGGGAATGGAGCCCCAGGAGAGGCTGAGGGAGCTGGGAAGGGAATGGAGCCCCAGGAGGGGCTGAGGGAGCTGGGAAGGGAATGGAGCCCCAGGAGAGGCTGAGGGAGCTGGGAAGGGAATGGAGCCCCAGGAGGGGCTGAGGGAGCTGGGAAGGGAATGGAGCCCCAGGAGGGGCTGAGGGAGCTGGGAAGGGAATGGAGCCCCAGGAGAGGCTGAGGGAGCTGGGAAGGGGCTCAGCCTGGAGAAAAGGAGGCTCGGGGGGGACCTTGTGGCTCTGCACAAGTCCCTGCCAGGAGGGGACAGCCAGGGAACAGGGACAGGACAAGGGGAAATGGCCTCAGGCTGGGCCAGGGCAGGCTCAGGTTGGACATCAGGAGGAATTTCTGCATGGAAAGGGGGCTCAGGCCTTGGCAGGGGCTGCCCAGGGAGGTTTGCAGTGCCCATCCCTGCAGGTGTCACCTGCATGTGGCACTGAGTGCCCTGGGCTGGGCACAAGGTGGGCATTGGGCACAGGTTGGGATTTTCCAGCCTGAATGATCCTGGGCTGTGGTGCCCCTGCCATCCCCCGTGCCCTCAGTGGGCATTTCCCTGGAGCTCTGCCAGCCGTGGCACTGGCACAGCTGAGTTCCCCTCTGGAGCCTCCTCTGGGGTTCTGTAGGTTCAGGTTCCAGCTGTGTTCCACTCTGGGGTTCTGTAGGATCAGCTTCCAGCTGTGTTCCCCTGGAGTTCTCCTGCTCTGCTCCCTCTCTGTCCCAGCTGTTCATGGGATCCATAGGATGGGATGGGATGGGATGGGATCCATGGGATGGGATAATGGGATGGGATAATGGGATGGGATGGGATGGGATAATGGGATGGGATGGGATCCATGGGATGGGATAATGGGATGGGATGGGATAATGGGATGGGATGGAATAATGGGATCCATGGCATGGGATAATGGGATCCATGGCATGTCATGGCATGGGATCCATGGAATGGGATAATGGGATGGGATAATGGGGTGGGATGGGATGGGATCCATGGGATAATGGGATGCGATAATGGGTTGAGATAATGGGATGGGATGGGATAATGGGATGGGGTGGGATGATGGGATCCATGGGATGGGATCCATGGAATGGGATGAGATAATGGAATGAGATAATGGAATGAGATAATGGGATGGCATGGCATGGCATGGCACGGCATGGGATCCATGGGATGGGATAATGGGATGGGATGGCGTGGCATGGCATCCATGGGATGGGATCCATGGGATGGGATCATGGGATGGGATAATGGGATGGCACGGCATGGCATGAGATGGGATAATGGGATGGGTTAATGGGATCCATGGGATAATGGGATGGGATCCATGGAATGGGATGGCATGGAATGGCATGGATTCCATAGGATGGGATGGGATAATGGGATGCGATAACGGCATGGCATGGCATGGCATGGCATGGCATGGCATGGCCTGGAGGAAGCAGGGACTGGGAGCCCTGACCTGGGCAGATCCTGCCCTGCCATCACCCTGCTCCGAGCCCAGCTCAGGGAACCCCTCGGGGTGCACGGGAGCCGTTCCCGCAGTGGCCCCACATTGATGGGGGTTTATTGTATTTCCTTACAGATATTTTCTCTCAGATCTCAGATTCCAACGGGCTGCTGGTGTTCCCCAAGTTCGAGCAGTTCCTGCGGGAGGTGCTGAAGCTGCCCACGGCCGTGTTCGAGGGGCCCTCCTTCGGCTACACCGAGCACTCGCTGCGCACCTGCTTCCCGCAGCAGGTCAGGGAGGGGATTGGGGATTTGGGGTCTGGGATTGGGGTCTGGGATTGGGGTCTGGGATTTGGGGTTTGGGGTGTGAGATTGGGGATTTGGGGCTGGGGATTTGGGGTGTGGGATTGGGGTCTGGGATTGGGGATTTGGGGTTGGGGATTGGGGTGTGGGGTTGGGGATTTGGGGTTTGGGGTCTGGGATTTGGGGTCTGGGATCGGGGATTGGGGGTCTGGGGTTGGGGATTTGAGGTTTGGGATTTAGGGTCTAGGATCGGGGATTGGGGATTTAGGGTCTGGGATTGGGAATCAGAGATTTGGGGTCTGGGATTTGGGGTCTGGGATTGGGCATTTGGGGTCTGGGATTTGAGGTGTGGGATTGGGGATTTGGGGTCTGTGGTCTGGGTTTGGGGGTCGGAGATTTGGGGGTTTGGGGTCTGGGATTGGGGATCGGGGATTGGGGGTTTGGAGTCTGGTATTGGAGATTTGGGGGTGAGAGATTGGGGGTTTGGGGTCTGGGATTTGGGGATTTGGGGATTTAGGGTCTGGGATTGGGGATTTGGGATTTGGGATTGGGGGTTTGGGGTCTGGGGTTGGGGATTTGGAATCGGACATTGGGAATTTGGGATCGAGAATTTGGGGGTTTGGGGTCTGGGGTGTGGGATTGGGGATTTGGGATCTGGGATTGGGGATAAGGGATTTGTGGTCTGAAATCGGGGGTTTGGGAATCAGGGATTGGGGATCAGAGATTCAGGATTTGGGATTGGGGACTGGGGGTCGGGGATTTGGGGATTTCAGATTTCAGATTAGGGATTGGGGATCTGAGATTCAGGATTGGGGATCGGGGATTTGGGGATCTGGGATTGAGGGTCTGTCTGGGATTGTGAGTCGGGGATTGGGGATCACAGATCGGGGATCTGGGATTTGGGATCAGGGATTCAGGATTTCGGATCAGGGACTGGGGATCGGGGATTTGGGATTGAGGATTCGGGATTGGGGATCTGAGATCTGGGATCAGGGATTTGGGGTCTGGGATTGATGGTCTGGGATTGGGGGTCAGAGATTTGGGGGTCTGGGACTGAGGATTTGGGATTGGGGATCTGGGATTTGAGATCAGGGATCTGGGATGTGAGATTTGGGATTCAGGATTTGGGATTCGGGGTTCCCAGGGCATTGGGGCTGGGGGTCACTGAGGTCCCCTGTACAACCCAAGCACTTTGAAACAGTGCACAATAAGCAGCTGAAGGATTTTCTGCGTTTCAGTTGGTTCCCCTCCGTGAAGGGCCCCCCCTGTTCCCCATCAGGACATCAGCAATGACTCATTCCTTCCCCAGAACACAAACCATGCCATTTTCACTGTTTTCCCTTGATTTTTCAAAGCTTTTTCACTGTGTTAAGACAATTAGTTTAACAAGTCACTTCCAGGATCTGTTCAAAGTAAGCACCTTCTGTGCAGCAGTTTATTTTTAAATCCATTGCAGTTGCATTTTAATTGTTCCAATGATTTGTTTCTCATTTGAGGTAATGTAAATAATATAACTAATCCCAAAATCAACTCTAAACATGAACTTGATTGATCTTAGGCCTGAAATTAAATGTTTAGACTCTGGGCATGATGATGCTCCAGCAGAAACATTTCTGCAGCATTTGATGTAAAATTTATAGTGACTAAATATAAGTTAATTAGCAATTAGCGTGTTTGGAATGTGGCACAGTAGGAAACAGCCTTTGATTTCAGAATCAGTGACGCTCCAGATTTACATCTGATATTGGGAATTGGGAATTGTGCCCTGGCACAGGGTGCCCGCCCTGGATCCCTGGCAGTGCCCAAGGCCAGGCTGGACTTTGGGGCTTAAAAAGTGTAAATTGCTTTCATTATAAATGTTCTCAGAATCGCAGACTGGTTTGGGTTGGGAGGGAGTTGAATCCCACCCAGTGTCCATGGCAGGGACACTGCCACTGTCCCAGGTGCTCCGGCCCCAGTGCCCAGCCTGGCCTTGGGCACTGCCAGGGACCCAGGCGCAGTGGAGGTGTCCCTGCCATGGCAGGGGTGGCACTGGGGGATTTTTAAGGTCCCCTCCCACCCCAGCCATCCCTGATTGCATGGCTGTGGCAGCACAGGAACGTTCCTGGCAGGCACAATTGGAGCAGTGTGGCAGTGATGTTGGGAGGGTGCCCAGGATGAGGTGAGGGGTCAGAATTTCACTCCAAGGTCTCAGAAGGCTGAGATAATATATCATGTCATGTCATGTCATGTCATGTCATGTCATGTCATGTCATGTCATATCATATCATATTATGTCATATCATATCATATCAATAATATTTCATCAATTATAAAAATTATTAAAATATTAAAAATATTTAAGTATTAAATTGAATATTAAATGAATATTGAAATATTAATCTAAATATTAAATAAGTAATAAATATTAAAATAATATTTAAATATTAACTATTAAAATATTAAAATAATACAATATTAAAATTTATCATATTTATTAAAATTATTATATCATATCATCATATTTTATTAATTATAAAATTATTACATTATTAAATGTTAAAATATTAAAAACATTAAAGTATTAAATTAAATATTAAAAAAGTAATAAATAAACATTAAATGAATATTAAAATATTAAGATATTAATATATTAAAGATTATTTATTAAATTATTTATTAAAATTACAATATTATATTATATTATATTATATTATATTATATTATGTTATATTATATTATATCAATTATTAAAATTATTATAATATTAAAATATTAAGATATTAAAGTATTGAATTGAAAATTAAATGAATATTTACATATTAAATGAAATATTAAATAAATAATAAATAAATATTAAATTAAGTATTAAGATATTAAGATATTTAAAATCATAAAATTATTTATTAAAATTATATTATACCATATCATATTATATTTCATTAATTATTAAATTATTAAAATAGTAAAATATTATATTATTACATCAAATAATTAATAAATATTGAAATATTACATGGAATATTAACTAAAATGAAGAAATATTAAATGAAGTATTAAAATATTAAATATTAATGTATAAAATATGAAATAATTTATTTAAATTATCATATTATATTAAAGTATATTAATTAAATTATATACTAAAACCATACTAAAGAAAGAGAAAGGTTTCATCAGAAGGCTTGACAAGAATGACAATAAAAACCCAGACTCACCAAGTCTGACACAGCTGCGATTGACCATTAATTAAAAACAATTCACGTGTTTGGATAAACAATCTCCAGCCACATGGCCAAAAATCAAACCATGGAGAGGCTGATGCTTCATCTTCTCAGGAGAAAAGCCCTGCTGAAGGGATTTTTCAGCAAATCTCACAGACAGAGAAGCTGTCGGTCTGGAGGAGCCCTGGCATGGGAAATGCCCTTGGCCGTGCCCCCAGCGCTCCCTGTGCTCTCCCTGCAGAAGAAGGTGATGCTCAACATGTTCCTGGACACGCTGATGGCCGACCCTCCTCCCCAGTGCCTTGTGTGGCTGCCCCTCATGCACAGACTGGCCCACGTTGAAAATGGTAAATGCAGAATTTCCCTGCTGGGAGCCTGGGGTGCTCTGTGCTTGTGCAGAATTTCCCTGCTGGGAACCTGGGGTGCTCTGTTCTTGTGCAGCATTGCCCTGCTGGCAGCCTGGGGTGCTCTGTGCTTGTGCAGCATTGCCCTGCTGGCAGCCTGGGGTGCTCTGTGCTTGTGCAGCATTGCCCTGCTGGCAGCCTGGGGTGCTCTGTCCTTGTGCAGCATTGCCCTGCTGGGAACCTGGGGTGCTCTGTGCTTGTGCAGCATTTCCCTGCTGGGAACCTGGGGTGCTCTGTGCTTGTGCAGCATTGCCCTGCTGGGAACCTGGGGTGCTCTGTGCTTGTGCAGCATTGCCCTGCTGGCAGCCTGGGGTGCTCTGTGCTTGTGCAGCATTGCCCTGCTGGGAACCTGGGGTGCTCTGTGCTTGTGCAAACATTTCCCTGCTGGCAGCCTGGGGTGCTCTGTGCTTGTGCAGCATCTCCCTGCTGGGAACCTGGGGTGCTCTGTGCTTGTGCAGAATTTCCCTGCTGGGAACCTGGGGTGCTCTGTGCTTGTGCAAACATTTCCCTGCTGGCAGCCTGGGGTGCTCTGTGCTTGTGCAAACATTTCCCTGCTGGGAACCTGGGGTGCTCTGTGCTTGTGCAGCATCTCCCTGCTGGCAGCCTGGGGTGCTCTGTGCTTGTGCAGCATTGCCCTGCTGGCAGCCTGGGGTGCTCTGTGCTTGTGCAGCATTGCCCTGCTGGGAGCCTGGGGTGCTCTGTGCTTGTGCAGCATTGCCCTGCTGGGAACCTGGGGTGCTCTGTGCTTGTGCAGCATCTCCCTGCTGGGAGCCTGGGGTGCTCTGTGCTTGTGCAGCATTGCCCTGCTGGCAGCCTGGGGTGCTCTGTGCTTGTGCAGCATTGCCCTGCTGGCAGCCTGGGGTGCTCTGTGCTTGTGCAGCATTGCCCTGCTGGCAGCCTGGGGTGCTCTGTGCTTGTGCAGCATCGCCCTGCTGGGAACCTGGGGTGCTCTGTGCTTGTGCAGCATTGCCCTGCTGGCAGCCTGGGGTGCTCTGTGCTTGTGCAGCATCGCCCTGCTGGGAACCTGGGGTGCTCTGTGCTTGTGCAGCATTGCCCTGCTGGGAACCTGGGGTGCTCTGTGCTTGTGCAGCATTGCCCTGCTGGGAGCCTGGGGTGCTCTGTGCTTGTGCAGCATTGCCCTGCTGGCAGCCTGGGGTGCTCTGTGCTTGTGCCTTCCTGTCCTGGCCCAGAGCACCCCAGAGCTGGTGGGGTCACATTCCTGGGGATGTGGGGTGGGGACTGGCTGGGTGTGAGAGCAGCAGCAGGGCAAACGCCGTGGATTTTAGTTAAAATGACATTTCCTGAATGTTCCTGAGGCTGAGGGAGCTGGGAGAGGAGAAAAGGAGGCTCAGGGGGGACCTTGTGGCTCTGCACAAGTCCCTGCCAGGAGGGGACAGCCAGGGGACAGGGACAGGACAAGGGGAAATGGCCTCAGGCTGGGCCAGGGCAGGCTCAGGGTGGACACCAGGAGGAATTTCTGCATGGAAAGGGTGCTCAGGCCTTGGCAGGGGCTGCCCAGGGAGGTTGGCAGTGCCCATCCCTGCAGGTGTCACCTGCATGTGGCACTGAGTGCCCTGGGCTGGGCACAAGGTGGGCATTGGGCACAGCTGGGCTGGATGGGCTGGGAGGGATTTTCCAGCCTCAGGGATCCTGGGGTTTTTAAATTAATTTTGATGGTGGCAATTTAAATATGATGGGGTCAAGTCCTCACCAGGAGGTGAGGAGGTGGATGTGGTTAAAATGTTGGGTGAACTCCAGGGCAAAGGGATCTTGGTTTGATCCTGGTTTGATCCTGGCATTCCCTGGCAGCAGCCAGGAGCAGGAGGGCACCAAGCTGGGCTGCTCCCCTTCACTGGGATCCTTCCCATCCAAATCCCAGTTTTAGCCCTTGCAGAAAAATGAAAAACAGAAATAATACCACAAGAAAAAACCCACAAACAAAATCCTAAACAAACCAACCCCACAAAAACCTAAACAAACAAAGCCCAAGAAAACAACGACAGAAAATAAAAACCACAAACAAAAATCCAACAAAACAACCAAAAAGCAAGAAAAGGCAAAAAAACCCACTGGGTTATTGTAATTCCTTCCCCTCATCAGGATTTCGGGGTTTGGGTTATTTTTATTCCTTCCCATCATCAGGAAATCAGGGTTTTGTGTTTTGGGTTATTGGTATTTTTTCACCTCATCAGGAAATCAGAGTTTGGGTTATTATTTATTCCCATCATCAGGAAATCAGGGTTTGGGTTATTTTTATTCCTTCCCTTCATCAGGAAATCAGAGTTTGGGTTATTGTTATTCTTTCCCCTCATCAGAAAATCAGGGTTTGGGTTATTTTTATTCCTCTCATCAGGAAATCAGGGCTTGGGTTATTGTTCCTACTCCTCTCATCAGGAAATCAGGGTTTTGTATTTTGGGTTATTGGTATTTTTTCCCCTCATCAGAAAATCAGGGTTTGGGTTATTGGTATTCCTTCCCCTCATCAGGAAATCAGGGTTTGGGTTATTTTAATTCCTCTCATCAGGAAATCAGGGTTTTGTATTTTGGGTTATTGGTATTTTTTCCCTTCATCAGGAAATGAGGGTTTGGGATATTGATATTCCTTCCCCCCATCAGGATATCATGGTTAGGGTTATTATTCCTTCCCTCATCAAAATATCATGGTTAGGGTTATTGTAATTCCTTCCCCTCATCAGGAAATCAGGGGTTGGGTTATTTTTTTTCCCGTCACCAGGAAATCAGGGTTTGGGTTATTTTTATTCTTCTCATCAGGAAATGAGGGTTTGGGTTTTTGGTGTTGCTTGCCCTCATCAAGAAATCTGGATTTTGGTTATTATTCTTTCCCCTCATCAGGAAATCAAGGTTTGGGTTTTTGGTGTTGCTTCCCCTCATCAGGATATCAGGGTTCACCAAAAATCCCCTGAAAGTTTTGTTTTCTTTGTGTTTCCCCCAGTCTTCCACCCCGTGGAGTGCTCGTACTGCCACTGTGAGAGCATGATGGGCTTCAGGTACCGCTGCCAGCAGTGCCACAACTACCAGCTGTGCCAGAACTGCTTCTGGAGGGGCCATGCCAGCGGCCCCCACAGCAACCAGCACCAGATGAAGGAGCACTCCTCGTGGGTAAGGCCTTCCTCATGGCAGGGAACATCCTCTTGGTCAGAGCACTCCTCTTGGGTAAGGGGCACTCCTCATGGGCAGGGCACGCCTCGTGGGTAAGGCCTTCCTCATGGCAGGGAACCTCCTCTTGGTCAGAGCACTCCTCATGGGTAAGGCCTTCCTCATGGCAGGGACACCTCCTCTTGGTCAGAGCGCTCCTCATGGGTAAGGGGCACTCCTCATGGGCAGGGCACGCCTCGTGGGTAAGGCCTTCCTCATGGCAGGGAACATCCTCTTGGTCAGAGCACTCCTCTTGGGTAAGGGGCACTCCTCTTGGTCAGAGCGCTCCTCGTGGGTAAGGGGCACTCCTCATGGGCAGGGCACGCCTCGTGGGTAAGGCCTTCCTCATGGCAGGGAACCTCCTCCTTGGTCAGAGCACGCCTCGTGGGTAAGGCCTTCCTCATGGCAGGGAACATCCTCCTTGGTCAGAGCGCTCCTCGTGGGTAAGGCCTTCCTCATGGCAGGGAACCTCCTCCTTGGTCAGAGCGCTCCTCGTGGGTAAGGCCTTCCTCATGGCAGGGAACCTCCTCCTTGGTCAGAGCGCTCCTCGTGGGTAAGGCCTTCCTCATGGCAGGGACACCTCCTCCTTGGTCAGAGCGCTCCTCGTGGGTAAGGCCTTCCTCATGGCAGGGAACCTCCTCCTTGGTCAGGGCACTCCTCGTGGGTAAGGGGCACTCCTCATGGGCAGGGCACGCCTCGTGGGTAAGGCCTTCCTCATGGCAGGGAACATCCTCCTTGGTCAGAGCGCTCCTCATGGGTAAGGCCTTCCTCATGGCAGGGACACCTCCTCTTGGTCAGAGCGCTCCTCATGGGTAAGGCCTTCCTCATGGCAGGGACACCTCCTCCTTGGTCAGGGCACTCCTCAGGTAAGGCCTTCCTCATGGCAGGGACACCTCCTCCTTGGTCAGAGCGCTCCTCGTGGGTAAGGCCTTCCTCATGGCAGGGAACATCCTCCTTGGTCAGGGCACTCCTCGTGGGTAAGGGGCACTCCTCATGGGCAGGGCACGCCTCGTGGGTAAGGCCTTCCTCATGGCAGGGAACCTCCTCTTGGTCAGAGCGCTCCTCATGTGTAAGGCCTTCCTCATGGCAGGGACACCTCCTCCTTGGTCAGGGCACTCCTCAGGTAAGGCCTTCCTCATGGCAGGGACACCTCCCACTGTCCCAGGGTGTGCCAGTGTGCAGCCTGGCCCTGGGCACTGCCAGGGAACAATTCCTCATTCCCAGGATCCCATCCATCCCTGCCCTCTGGCACTGGGAGCCATTCCCTGGGTTCTGTCCCTCCACGCCTCAAATGAACAAATTCAGAGAGAAATAAATGTGGGCATTTTCAGCAGATGAAGAATTAATTGAGGAAAACGAGGGGTTTAAATTTGGAGTAATCCCATCTCTGTGCATAATTTAAATTCTCTGTGAGATCGGTGATATAAAACCAAATTGTGATTTTCACAGGATTTCAAAGGAATTAAAGCAGAGGGGCAGGAATGATTTGAGCTTTAAGGTCCCTTCCAACACAAACCCTTTCCGGATTTGATGATTTGGGATGACCAAGTGCCCGTTCCAGAGCCTGTCCAGGGCCTTCCCACCATTCTGCTGCCCCCCAGGATGGAGCTGGGGGCTGAGAAATAAAAACTCCAGGACCTGGAAGGAATGAGGCTGCACCTCCAGGGCAGTGACTGGTGTTAATTATCAATTATCAGTAATTGCCAGGCACTGATGGTGTTTATGTAGCTCCTATTTGAACCACGATTAATCTGAATTTTCACTTGAGTGTCCCTTGGGAGCTGGTCCCACTCTGGAGTGTTGTACAGCAGCGGTAATTAATAATTGTGATCAATTAATTATTACCATTAATAATTAATGATTGTGATTAATTCCAGAGCTATAATTAGCCAGGGCTTGCCCTTTCCTGGGGTGTCAGTGAGGGAGAGCAGCAGGAGGAGCTTCCAGCTGATGTCTGAGCTCCCATATGGAATTATGGAGTTATTAGGGTTGGAAAAGACCATCCCCAGGGTTCCATGTCACTGCTGGGAGCTCAGCAGCATTTTCAGAATTAATTTTGTAAATCAGTATGGGATTTAAACCCCATTTTTTGGTCATTCCTGTGGGTGTCACCAGCATTGCCAAGGACCAAGGATCACCAATCCTGTGAGGCCATTTAGTGTCAAAATTAGAAAAAAAACAAACTTCTACAGACTCTAAACAGTTTAATCTGTAGCCTTGGAAGACACTTAGATTAATGTAAAAATATAAATGTAAAAATACAAATGTAAAAATATAAATGTAAAAATACAATACACAGACATTCAGCAGAAAAAATCATAAATGTGTGTTTCTGTAGTTGTAAGAATATGCCTTAAATAAATGAGAAACTGAATTATGAAGGCCCAGGACCCAGGATCACCAATTCTCTGAGGCCATTTAGTGTGAGAATCAGAAAAACAAAAACAACTTCTACAGACTCTAAACGGTTTAATCTGTAGCCTTAGAAGACACTTAGATTAATGTAAAAATATAAATGTAAAAATTCAATGTAAAAATAAAAATGTAAAAAACAAATGTAAAAATACAGTGTAAAAATACAATGCACAGACATTTAACAGAAAAATCATAAATGTGTGTTTCTATAGATGTAAGTAAAAATATGCCTTAAATAAATGAGAAACTGCATTGGGTAAAATGGTGAAGGGTTTATAATGTAGGAGTGTGGTTGTATAGAATAAACTGAGAATTTAGAAGTTACAATAAAATCATGTGAGTTAGAAGCCCATTAAATAAAAGTACCCATAGTACAGCAGAAGTCAGTAAAAGTGATAGGTTAAAAAAGTAAAATAAATCCTGTGGCAGCTCTTAGTTTAGAAAATTGCATATTGCCTTGTAATGAAGAAACTGTAGCCAAATGCTTGCTCTTCTAAATCTCACAGCCTCTGAGATTAATATTTATATTTATATTTATTAAGAAATAAATTGTTCTTAGCTTGAAAATAGTCCCATCCCTTCATTTCTAGCAGTGACAACAATAATTTAGCACCACTGAGGGGAGTTGTGAAAGGAGATAAATTCACTTCTGCCTGTCCCAGCCCTGCCCCAGCTTGGCTCTGCTGTAAAGGACAGAAATTTGGCAATTCCTGCCCTCAAAATGCCCCTCTGTGTTCAGGGAGTGATGTGAAAATCCCTTAATGGGGTGGGATTCATCCCTCAGAGAGTGCCCAGGTATAATTGGTTTACTTCCTAATCTTCCATCCTTTTGTTAAAACTTTCCATTTCCACCATCAGAGCCCTTCAGAGCCTCCCAGAACTCGATCCCCAGTGCACAGATTTCCCAGCAGTGCTGGGCATTTCTGCTCCCGTGCCCTCTGCTGCCCGTCCCAGGTGTGTGTGCCTGCCCTGCCCTTCCTTCCTGGGCCCACCTCTGCTGGTTCCCCCAAAATTCTGGGGGAATTTCCTGTGCTGGTTCCCCCAGGAATTCTGAAATTTGGGTCTATTTGGGCCAGGTCTCATAAGCTCTTGAAGATCTATTTCACACCCAAGATAGCTCAGCTAGGCATAAAATATAAAATATAATATATATATATATAAAACATACCTTAGAAAATATATTCTATATATATAAATATTATACCTTAGAAGGCATAAAATCAGCAGGATGGCTTCTGTGGCAATGTTTGAAACAAAAAGGGTTTAAGAAAAGGCAAAATAACAAACAGAGAAAAACTGAGCCAGAGGTCCTTGCCGCTGGTAAAACACCTCACAACAGGGATTGGTTTCTTGGTTCTCTTCTTTTTCTGGTAAATTGCTCAGGCAGTTTGGCTCCTGTCCAATTTGCTGTCCTTAAGGTTGAGGTGAATTCCCCAGGTCCTATGAGATGTATTTTTACCTAATTGAGGAGAGAAACTTGTGGGCTTATTTCCTTTCTAAGGGGACAAAGGAGAGTTTTGTCACTCTGTCCACAGGGGGAACATTCCTGTACTCACCTGTGCTTGCTCCCCCAGAAACCCCATGACTTACCTGTACAGCCATCCCTGTCTCACCTGTGTTGTTTCTCCAGAAATCCCATCTCACCTGTGCTTGTTCCCCCAGCAATCCTGGGCTCACCTGAGCAGAAATCCCATCTCACCTGTGCTTGTTCCCCCAGCAATCCTGGGCTCACCTGAGCAGAAATCCCATCTCACCTGTGCTTGTTCCCCCAGAAATCATGGGCTCACCTGTGCTTATTACCAGAAATCCCTGTCTCACCTGTGCAGTCGCCTCTCATCTGTGCTGTTCCCCAGCAATCCCCTCTCACCTGCACAATCCCATTTCCCCTGTTTTTCCCCAGCAATCCCATTTCCCCTCAACAATCCCTGTCTCACCTGTACAATCCCATTTCCCTGTACAAGCCCATTTCCCCCGTACAACCCCATTTTCCCGTTTTTCCCCAGCAGTCCCATCTCACCTGTGCTGTCCCCTCTCACCTGTACAACCCCATTTCCCCTGTTTTTTCCCCTGTACAATCCCATTTCCCTGTACAAGCCCATTTCCCCGTTTTTCCCCAGAAATCCCCGGCCAAGAAGCTGACCCACGCCATCAGCCGCTCCCTGGGCTGCGTGCCCAGCCGGGACCCGCCCCGCCCGCTGTTCCCCGAGCAGCCCGAGCGGCCGCTGGACCTGGCACACATCGTGTGAGTACCTGAGAGACCCCTGAGACCCCCTGAGACCCCCCTGAGACCCTGAACCTCCCCTGAACCCCCCTGGACCTGGCACACATCGTGTGAGTACCTGAGAGCCCCCTGAGACCCCCTGAGACCCCCTGAGATCCTGAACCCCCCTGGACCTGGCACACATCGTGTGAGTACCTGAGAGACCCCTGAGACCCCCTGAGACCCCCCTGAGACCCTGAACCTCCCCTGAACCCCCCTGGACCTGGCACACATCGTGTGAGTACCTGAGAGCCCCCTGAGACCCCCTGAGACCCCCTGAGATCCTGAACCCCCCTGGACCTGGCACACATCGTGTGAGTACCTGAGAGCCCCCTGAGACCCCCTGAGACCCTGAACCTCCCCTGAACCCCCCTGGACCTGGCACACATCGTGTGAGTACCTGAGAGCCCCCTGAGACCCCCTGAGACCCCCTGAGACCCTGAACCTCCCCTGAACCCCCCTGGACCTGGCACACATTGTGTGAGTACCTGAGAGACCCCTGAGACCCCCTGAGAACCCCTGAGACCCTGAACCTCCCCTGAACCCCCCTGGACCTGGCACACATTGTGTGAGTACCTGAGAGACCCCTGAGACCCCCTGAGAACCCCTGAGACCCTGAACCTCCCCTGAACCCCCCTGGACCTGGCACACATTGTGTGAGTACCTGAGAGACCCCTGAGACCCCCTGAGACCCCCTGAAACCCCCTGAACACTCCCTGACTTCCCCTGAAACCCCCTGGACCTGGCACACATCGTGTGAGTACCCCTGGACCCCCTCCCCACCCCTAAACCCCCTCCTCAGCCCCCTCCTCAGCCCCTGCACCCCCTCCTGACCTCCCAAACCCGCCCCCCATTTTGTGAGTCCCACTGAGCCCCCTCCCCAGCCCTGGGCCTGCAGTGGTTTCAGGTTTTCTCTGCTGTGTTGGTGTCAATGTTTCAGGTTTTTCTCTGTTGTGTTGGTGTGAATGTTTTTCTGGAGAACCTTTTGCGGCTGTGCTTGTGAGGGGTATCGGGGCTTTTCAGGTTTTTCTCTGCTGTGTTGGTGTAAATGTTTCTCTGGAACAGCACCGTTGGTCAGCCCTGGGCCCTTGGCCTCACATCCATGTCCCCTCTCCATGGCATTGCTGTCACCCTGCTGTTGGATCAGGCTCTGATTTCTCATTTATTTAAATGAAATTATCTAAACAGAACCATGGGGCTTGCCCTCACGTCCGTGTCCCCTCTCCATGGCATTGCTGTCACCCTGCTGTTGGAGGGATGGGTTGGATGGAAAACCTCTGCACTGGTGCTGGTTTCAGCAGCCTGAGGTCTCTCTGCTTCCCCACTTCGTCACATTTCACCTCCAAAGTACAAACTGAGAGACAAAGGCCCAACCAAGCTGAAGTCAGTCTGCAGATAAACCTCAGTGTCCTGCAGGGGCTGGGGAAAACTGTTCCCATGTGTAGGAGAGGGTGAGAGGAGCAGCACTGGGATCCAATTCCCAGCCCATCACTGCTTTCCTTCCCGATCTGGCATTTCCCTTCCCAACCCATCACTGCCTTTCCTTCCTGATCCATCACTGCTTTTCCTTCCCAACCCATCACTGCTTTCCTTCCCAATCTGGCATTTCCCTTCCCAGCCCATCACTGCCTTTCCTTCCCAGCCCATCACTGCCTTTCCTTCCCAGCCCATCACTGCTTTTCCTTCCCAGCCCATCACTGCTTTTCCTTCCCAATCTGGCATTTCCCTTCCCAGCCCATCACTGCTTTTCCTTCCCAGCCCATCACTGCTTTTCCTTCCCAATCTGGCATTTCCCTTCCCAGCCCATCACTGCTTTTCCTTCCCAGCCCATCACTGCTTTTCCTTCCCAGCCCATCACTGCTTTTCCTTCCCAATCTGGCATTTCCCTTCCCAGCCCATCACTGCTTTTCCTTCCCAGCCCATCACTGCTTTTCCTTCCCAATCTGGCATTTCCCTTCCCAGCCCATCACTGCTTTTCCTTCCCAGCCCATCACTGCTTTTCCTTCCCAATCTGGCATTTCCCTTCCCAACCCATCACTGCCTTTCCTTCCCAGCCCATCACTGCCTTTCCTTCCTGATCCATCACTGCTTTTCCTTCCCAACCTGGAATTACCTTTCCCTTCCCAGCCCATCACTGCCTTTCCTTCCCAACCCATCACTGCTTTTCCTTCCCCCCAGCCTGGCACTGCCTTGCCCTTTCCAACCCATCCCTGCCTTTCCTTCCCAACCCATCACTGCTTTTCCCTCCTGATCCATCCCTGCCTTTCCCTTCCCAACATGGCATTTTCTTCTCCTTCCCATCTGGCATTTCCTTCTCCTTCCCGTCGGGCATTTCCTTTCCCAACCCATCACTGCCTTTCCTTCCCAGCCCATCACTGCCTCTCCCTTCCCAACCCATCAGTGCTTTCCTTTCCCCCCTGGCATTGCCTTGGAAGTGCCAGGAGCTCACTGTAGCCCTAAATCTGGATTTAGGGCAGGGCCCAGCTCAGCCTCCCCACAAACACCTTTTGTTTCCAGTCCCATCGATTGGAATCCACTCGCGTTTTCCCCTGTAGGCTGGGCACCTCCTGCAGGGACATGGGGACAGGGCTGGGACTGGGACATGGGGACAGGGCTGGACAGCTCCTGCAGTGATAGGGACGGTGGGGACATGTCACACCTCCTGCAGGGACAGGGACATGGGGACAGGGACATGGGGACAGGGACATGGGGACAGGGCTGCACAGCTCCTGCAGTGATAGGGACGGTGGGGACATGTCACACCTCCTGCAGGGACAGGGACATGGGGACGGGGACAGGGACATGGGGACAGGGACAGGGGGACAGGGGTGGACACCTCCTGCAGGGACAGGGACATGGGGACAGGGACAGGGACATGGGGACAGGGACAGCTGCCTGGCCACTCCTGGCAGCAGCTCAGAGGCATCTGCTGTGCACTGCCAGCTTTAATTAAATGTGAACCCGATGCCCTAAAAAGCAGAGGATGGGGACATGGGGCCTGCTGGCCCAAGGACAGCTCTGGGACAGCAGGAACCCTGGGAGCAGGGATTGATATCCCAGGGACATCCCAGGGACAAAAGGGACTCACTGGGGTCAGTGTGAGGGACACGAGGCCTTGGGGCTGCTGTGGCACCTCTGAAAGAACAAAAATAGCAAAACACCAAAAATAACAATAAACCCCCCTGGACTGAGGGGCTGCAGGCAGGGGAGGTTCTCTGCTGGAACCCAGCTCCAAGCAGGAATTGCTGCAGGCCCCAGGGAGTCACTTTTGGGGTGCCCAGGGGCTGATTGTGTTTGATTTGGGTGAGGGAATCAGCACCTGCACCAGGTTTTCTGCTGGAACCAAGCAGGAATTGCTGCAGGCCCCAGGAGTCATTTTGGGGGTGCCCAGCAGCTGATTGTGTGTGATTTGGGTGAGGGAATCAGCACCTGCAGCAACATCAGCACCCACAAACAAACAGGGGCAGAGACTGCAGAAAAGCTGAGCCCTTTTGCCCTTTTCCCCCTTTTCCCTTTCCCTTTTCCCCCTTTCCCCTTTCCCCTTTCCCCTTTCCCCTTTCCCTTTCCCTTCCGCTTTCCCCTTTCCCCTTTTCCCCTTTTCCCTTCCCCTTTTTCCTTTTCCCTTTTCCCTTTCCCCTTCCCTTTCTCCTTTCCCCTTTCCCTTTCCTCTTTCCCTTTTCCCTTTTCCCCTTTCCCTTTCCTCTTTCCCTTTTCCCTTTTCCCCTTTCCCCTTTCCCCTTTCCCTTTCCCCTTTCCCCTTTCCCCTTTCCCTTTTCCCCTTTCCCCTTTCCCCTTTCCCCTTTCCCTTTCCCCTTTCCCCTTTCCCCTTTCCCTTTTCCCTTTCCCCTTTCCCCTTTCCCCTTTCCCTTTTCCCTTTTCCCCTTTCCCCTTTCCCCTTTCCCTTTTCCCTTTTCCCCTTTCCCCTTCCCCTTTCCCCTTTTCCCTTTTCCCCTTTCCCCTTCCCCTTTCCCCTTTTCCCTTTTCCCCTTTCCCCTTTCCCCTTTCCCTTTCCCCTTTCCCCTTCCCCTTTCCCCTTTCCCCTTTCCCTTTTCCCCTTTCCCCCTCCCCTTTCCCTTTCCCCTTTCCCCTTTCCCTTTTCCCCTTTCCCCCTCCCCTTTCCCTTTCCCCTTTCCCCTTTCCCTTTTCCCCTTTTCCCTTTCCCTTTTCCCTTTTCCCCTCCCCTTTCCCTTTCCATGGATTCTGTGTCTGGTGGGAGTTTCCTGGCTGTTGCAGGGCAATTCCATGCAGATCATGGTTGGGTTTGGGTGTCAGCTCAGAGGCTGCCCCTTTTCTGGGCTGGCAGAGTGTGGCATGGGGAATGGTGGCACCTGGAGGCTGGGTGGGGTTGGTAAAGCACAGGTGGGGTAGGCATGGATCACTTTTTCTGGGAGGAATCATTCAAAGTGCTCCATCACCTCTGTGGGGTTTTACATGTAAATGTAAATTTCTGACATGAAATCTTTGGTTTTAAAGTGTAATGGGGGTGGCACAGCCACCCCGTGGCAGGGCTGGATGGGATCTTGGGAATGAGGAATTGTCCCCTGGCAGGGTGGGCAGGCCCTGGCACAGGGTGCCCACCCTGGATCCCTGGCAGTGCCCAAGGCCAGGCTGGACACTGGGACACCCTGGGACAGTGACAGTGTCCCTGCCATGGCAGGAGCAGCCTGTGAGTTTGGTTTTTCCAGGAGTGGTTTTCTGCTGTTCCACTGCAGAGCTGGGAGCAGGGGTGGGGGAACAGGATCTGGGACAGGAGCAGAAGCAGGGACGGGATATGGGATCTGTAGCAGGGACAGGATCTGGGATCTGTAGCAGGATCTGGGAACAAGAGCAGGATCTGGGATCTGTAGCAGGATCTGGGAACAAGAGCAGGATGTGGAGCAGGATCCGGGATCTGTGGCAGGGTCTGGGAGCAGGATCTGGGATCTGTAGCAGAATGTGGGACAGGATCCTGGGATCTGTGGCAGCATCTAGAGCAGATCTGG